ATACAATCTTCTATGGAGATATTCTGCAGAGCTAAGGAGAGTTAATGTTGGGAACACTTGTAAAATTAATCTGACAAGGGTTGGGCCATCAATACAACCAAGATTTGGAAGCTTTTACTTTTGCTTATATGGGATTAAAAAGGAAGTCACAACCTCTTGTAGGCTATTCATTGGTGTTGATGGATGTCATCTCATAACAAAGTATGAAAGGACTCTCCTTATTGCAGTTGGTAGAGATTCAAATGACCAATACTTTCCCATTGCCTTGGTGTATGTGAAACTAAAATAAAATATTCATGGAGGTGGTTCCTAACATTGCTTATGGAAAAAATTGGTCAAGATAAGAGATGGGTTTTCATCACTAACCAACAAAAGGTAGTTGTTATGGTTTTTGGATCTAATCCCTGATTATGTCAATTTTTTTGGATTTCATTCCTAATTATGTTCATTTTTTTGGATTCCATTCCTAATCATGTTAATTTTTTTTTTGTATTTCATCCCTAAATTTGCAAGGTTTGATACCATTGTTTGAAGAGTTGCTTGAGAGGGTGGAACATAGACTTTAGCTTAGGCATTTATATGCCAATTTTAAAAAGAAGTTTGGTAGAGGTACACAAATCAGAGACATGATGATGGCAGCTGCCAAAGTCACTTATGTCAAAGCATAGGAGGCTAAAATGAAAGACATGAAGGAGCTTAATGTGAAGGCTTGGGAATGGCTAGCAGGCATACCTACCAAAGCATGGTGTAAGCATGCATTTTCTTTTTATCCTATATGTGATGTTCTAATGAATAATGTATCTGAGGCTTTTAATAGCACTATCTTAGTTGCAAGGGATAAACCAATATTAACTATGTGTGAATGGATAAGAAACTATCTCATGAATAGGAATGCAAGCTTAAGAGAAAGGGTTGATAGATGGAATCATAGGATAATGCCTAGACCTAGATGCAGGCTGGATATAGAAGTGGAACATGCAGGGACTTGGATTCCTAACTGGTCTGGTGATACATTACGGCAAGTGGAACATATACATACCAAGAATAGTTTCATTGTGGATACTTCAAATAAAACTTGTACGTGTTGTTTTTGGGAACTTGTAGGCATTCCTTGTAGACATGCAGTAGCTGCATTAGGTTTTAGGAACCAATGCCCAGAAGATTATGTTGATGATTGTTATTCCAAGGAAACCTATGAGAAATGATATAGTCTTAGTGTAAGTCCTATTAATGGCCAAGACATGTGACCAGAGGTTGACATGGAAGAGACGTTGCCTCCAGCCTATAAAAGAGGACCTGGAAGACCAAAGAAGTTGAGGAGGAGGGAACCTGGTGAAGACCCTAATAAAGTAAGAACACAAACCACTTATTGTTGCACTAGATATTGGGTGGATGACCATAATGCAAGAAGTTGTACTAGTTAAGTGGTTGACCCTGAAGCTTAAAAATGCAAGGTATTGAATTTGCTATAAGTTTGCATATCTTACTATTATCATTGATAATGTCAATTACTTGACTATGCTTTGTTTATCCAGAGAAATCCAAAGAAGCCAGGACAAGGACATAGTCAAACTCAATCTGCATCAGTTCAAGGACAAGGTCAGACTCAAACTGTTGAGATTCAAGTTGAGACTCAAATTGAACTTGACCCTGAGTTTGAAATGCTTGTTGCAAATCTTGCAGCAGCATTTGAGGCAACATAATCTTGTTGTTACTAAATTGTTGCATCATCTGCACAAAATGAACCTATTACATCATCATCACCTATTGCATCTTCATAAACTGTTACATCATCTGAACCTGTTGCAACTTTACAACATGTTACATCATTTGAACCTGTTGCAACTTCACAAACTCAAGATATATCAGATTATATTTTGAGTGCACGTGTTGCATTATCTGACAACGTGTCTGCTGCATCTGTGCCTACTGCTCCAAAGGTTCTTAAAATAGTTGATTATATTATACCATTTCCTAATAATTTGGTTTTATTCTATTGATGTATGACAACTCTAATATTGACCATATATTTTACAGAAGATGAAGACAAACAAACCACAAGTTGCAAGAAAAATTGGAGTTGAGGAGAAGTGATACAACAAGGGTTCTAAGGTGCAAAAACCTAAAAGGAGAAGGAAGTAATTCATCACAGCCTATGGATGTGAACAAGGAACCATAAGCACGTTGTCATTGTGTATTATGATGCCTTTTGGATATGTTTGTTCTGTCTTTATTGTATTGTTATACATAAGTCTATGACCTTTGGCCTTATTTACTTTTGAGACATCACACAATTATGGTTTGTGCTTTGGTGTGAATTTGGTGTAATATGTAACAAATTTATATGCCTTTTGGTTGTATGTAATTGTGAGACGTCTTTTGGTTTATGTATGGTGTGTTTTGCCTATATTTTGAGATCACTTTTCTATGCCTTTATGTTATACAATATTAACTAAAAGATTGTAAAACAGTGATGACATACAAACAAATCATTAACAACCAATGATGTAATACAATCATTTCAATAAGGCAGAGAGATACAAAACAATAAGTAACAAACATTTAGAGGTTAAATTCAAAAATAACATTACTTCTGATTATTACTTGATGTAGCATTACAAGGATGCATTTTAACAACCAATATTCATATAGGGACTAAAACAAAACAAAAAAAGACAAATTACAGACTCTATGAATCATTACCATTTCTGGCAAGCAAAAAAAACACCATGAAAGAGTCAACAACAACTTCAACATTCTGGCCTTCTTCCTTTCGTTTTCCAACTTCATTTTCATATTCTCTTTTTTCCTAGCTTCAAGACCTTTAATGATTCACCCTAATTCCTGAACTACCTCTGAGCAATTGCATCCAATTGGGTTTTTGTGTTTATTTGATGTGTTGCGTTCAAGTTCATCATCCTAAATGAAAATCTTACAATCTAATCCCAAATTTGAACACTTCTAGAATCTTCTTTTAAAGTTTTCAGTTGAGTTTGAAATGAACATTCTCATAGCTTTGTTGCAACCACAAAATGGGATTTCAGACTCAACAAAATTCCCAACAAAAGATGTCGTCATAATTGATTCTTGGTTAATTTTTGAAGTTCTTGAGAAGAAGATGAGACGGAGAAGAAGAAGAATTGACAAAATGCAAAATGTGGTTTTTTATTTATTACGTCCTCCTTTTCAAGTTCCTTTTCACATGCATTTTCACGTTTGCATCAAATAAAAATGAAAAACACACATAAGCAAATTTCATTTATGAACCATTTACACAGTCTGTGTTTTTTAACAAAAGCTGACGTCAGAGACTAAATGCAATGTAAAATTGAATTATAAGGACTTAGACAAAAAAAAAATATAGGGATTAAATTTAAAATCTCACTAACTTAAAAGAACCAAATAACTATTTAAGCCTTAGAAAAATTATATTTCATACAACTTAAAGTTTCTAATTAGTTATAAAAGAGTCTTTCTGCAACTAACAAATTCATCAATTAAGTCTTTATGTTTTAGTGTCTCCAAAAGATCATTAAACAATTAATAAATAAAATTACAAATTAAAAATATAAAAAAAAATTGAGAAATTAATAATTACAAATAAAAAGAATCAATAATCAAAAAATAAAAGAAAAAACATTAAATCTTCAATTTGATTTTACTTTTTATATTTTCTATTCATAATCATTTAAATCATTAACATTTATATAATAATTGAAAAGCTATGCAACCATATTAAAGAAAAAAATCGAACAAGATGATCAAGCCCACAACCTTTACCAATCAACATGTTTGAAATTCGTGTTTATTTGATATTTTATAATATTTAAGATAATATTAACTAAATATTTTGCTTTTAATATTTTGTTTTTTTAAAAACAAAATGAAGTCCCTTAATTTGGAGTCCTGTTCACCAAAGTTAAAGTCATTGGATGATAATCAACTGAAAGAATGTTGTGTTAAACCTCACTCAACTATTTTTATAGTAATTTATCGAATGTTGATATAGATGATTTTTCTCTAAATTAAGAATGTTACAATTTATTTTGTCAAATGAAATCATGTACGATATTGATATTTTTAAATTTATCAAACTTGTAGATTATTATTCAAATGTATCAATTGCTTATAGAACTTTCTTGATGGTGTTTGTGACTATAGCATTGACGGAAAGAATTTTTTTATTTTTAATTTAAGTTGATTAAAACTTGCTTGAAATCATCAATATTTTAAGAAAGATCAAACACTTTGGCAACTTTTAGTGATTCTTTGTGAGGAGGAAATATCTATATTGGATCAAAGACTCATCTAAAGATACTCAAGAGCACTTGGATAACATAAGATGGCGCGGATTATATTATGATCCTACAAGATTAGAGGAATTAGTCTCTCCAATTGCATAGAATACTTGAATTATACAAACAAAAAAAACTCACCTTAAAATCAAAAACTCACTCAAATAAGTGATAGAGATACTACACATTCACCCAAAAACAATAAGGAAGTTATGTATTAAGACCTAGCTGGTGCTGATATTATGTGACTGAAGCTGATATAATGTGACTGAAGTTTTAAAAATAAAACTATTACAAATGATAAATCATATTTAAAGAGATTGAATGATATACAAAAGATTTATTCTCCTACATATAAGTTATGTCTTGAATTTCAAAATCATGTAAGACACAATAAATATATTGTCATACATAAACATTCGTCATTACATGTTTACTCAATCTAGTAACTCTGTCTTTCCATTTCAACATTATGTATAGTGTATCATTCAATTTCTGCCACATCAGATATGTGAAAACCAGAATCCACAGCATAAGCATATAAATGAATACATGCATACGAGTTTAAATTAAGAACTAAGCAGAGAGATGTCACAAGGCCATAACTTTATTAATACTTTTAGAACTGATGTTCTTGATTACAGCAATTCAAAATTTATTTTATTACATAAAATGGCCGCCTCAACATTCCATTGCATGATTTTACTAAGATTGAGGCCGAACCAACGGGCCACGGTTTCCATTAGACTTAATTTGAGCAACCTCTCTGTGGCGAAGTCCGAAAGCATTTGCAAGAACATCACCAGGAGTGGCTCTAAACACCTGATTTACGTGGCTAACAGCAGCTCTATCATTTGTCTTGAACACTACATACTCCAATCCTTCTTCATTTCCTGCTTGTTGAGCCACCACAAAGTTTTGTGGCACCACCACCAATTGTCCCTTTCTCACCTTGTCGTCGAACACTGGGTTTCCTTGACTGTTCACTATTCTAACTCTTCCTTGTCCTCTAATCACGTACAAGAGGCTGTTGGCGTTGATGTTCCAGTGTGGAGCATATATACCATTCTGCATATACATACATACATAAAAATATACATATTAACCGTATTATGGAAATATACACATTGTAAAATAATTAGTACTATATACATACCCTGTAGAGACGAACATATTCAGCGCTGAGGCGTAAATTGCGGAGGATTGGGAGGGTTAAACTGTTGACAGTGCTGATGCGGCCGGCACGTGAATTGTAAAGATCAGTACGTGAAGGGCGAGCGATGTTCTCACGAATCTTTGCACTGCAAATAGTTTCTTCCAAACCATTCTTTCCTCCTTTGCTGCGTTGACGTTGTATTTCTTCCTCTTCCTCCTCTTCCTTTTCTAGTTCTTTTTCTTCTTCTCCTTGCCCGCGTGATTCTCGTTTCTTCTCTTGGGTGTGTTTTTTCCACTTTCGACGAGTCTCATGGCTGCGAGGTTCATCCTCATCCTCCTCTTCTTTTTTGCTATGTTTGCGGTCTCTTTGTTCTCGTTCTTCTTCCTCGTCCTCATCCTCCTCTTCTTTTTTGCTATGTTTGCGGTCTCTTTGTTCTCGTTCTTCTTCCTCGTCCTCATCCTCCTCTTCTTTTTTGCTATGTTTGCGGTCTCCTTGTTCTCGTTCTTCTTCCTCGTCCTCATCCTCCTCTTCTTTTTTGCTATGTTTGCGGTCTCTTTGTTCTCGTTCCTCTTCCTCCTCTCTTTGACTCTGACTTTGTTCTTCTTCTTCTTGCAACTCAGGACTGATAATTTGAAGACCGTCCTCTACTTTTACGATTTGACCCCTTTCGTCCTGTGGAGATTGAAGTTTCTTGGCTGTATCTTCTTTGGTGTTGAGTGAATGTGCTAAAAACTCTGCGCTGAAGCCACTCAGCACGCTGTTACCTTCGTTTTGTTCCTCGGATTCCTCCTCTTTTTGTTGATGTCCACCTCTACGTCCAATGGGGGAACTGTGTCTTGGTTGATGTTGTTCGTATTGTTTTTCCTGTGTTTCGGGGAACTCTGCCTCTGGATTTCCACCGAGGTAAAATACCTACAAACACATAATTCAGTAGAAAATGTTATACATTAGAAAAGTTTATAAGTCTCTTCAACAGCATCACAATATCAAAATTTGGATAATGTAACTTATAGTTATATAATTACTTACTCTGGGGGTTGAATCGAGCTGGTTTAGAGTGTTGGAAGTGTCAAGAAGACTAATGGCAACAAGAGGTTCGTGACCATGGTTATAGGTCCAGTAAGGAATTCCAGGTGGAATGGCAATGACATCACCTTTAGAGAAGCGCCGAATCTTCTGGTGGCTGTCATGTTGTTGCTGCTGCTGTCTAGATTGTGAGCGTGGTTCTTCGTAAGTTTCAGGACAACCAGGAACTGCAAGCCCAAGTACTCCCTTCCCTACATAGAAGAAAAAACATAAACAATTCAACAACTTCATATAATAATGAATATTTAATCATTGTGTAAATTTGATCATATAATAAAACCTTGGATGATGAAAATCAACTGTGGAGATGGTGAATAAGAAGGCAAGTGAAGGCCATTAGGATCAATGGTGCGTCGGATAAGAGATACACCGGCGCATTGTAGCTCAGGATGATTTGGATTCCATGTCTCAGTGAGACCGGCTTCTGACTCAACACGGTGATCTGGTTCCAATGCATTGATACTGTCAAGCTGGCATTGGTTGAACCTGTCTAACTCAGAGTGATGTGCTAAACATGCAGTGCTGAAGAGCAGCAAGCAGAGGGAAAAAAGGAAGTGTTTGGCCATTGTGATAGTGATCATTAACTGATTACTAATGAGAATGATGAAGCGAAGAACCTGCGGTGTGGTTATTTATAGGGATGGGAGAAGGGTGAAGGAGGGACACGTAAGGGTGACATTCATCATCATGCATGGTTTCCAGTTCCTAAATGATTACACCTCTCAAATGATGATGATGATGATATATGTTCACAGTGACAGCACAGAATGAATATTTGTTGCTATCCTTACATATGTAGTTCTCATCACTTCATGTAAATGGTCCCCCATGCACTCTGCCTCTATTCTTTACATATCAATACTTCTTTACACTTTAATAAAATTCAATTACACTCTTGAATTTTAATTTAAGAGCAAATGAACATTTGGAAATATGTATAAAATGAACATTCAAAAACTTACTTTTTAAAACACATGATCACCCTACATTGTCATGCCTGCATTTATGTTTCCTTTAAGTCGGTACTAATTTTATACATCATCATCCTTAAAAGGGGGAAAAATACAACACCATCAAATGCAATACATACTAATTTCTATTCAAAACTACAAACTGAAAAGATATATGTAAATCATAATACAAGCTTGGACCAAATAGCTACCATTTCAAACTAATGGCTAAATCTAGCAGAGCTTCTACTTGACGTATAGTTTGTTGCTTCTCTTGTTGTTTTAATCTATTTGCAACTGATTCAGGATCAAACTCTTGTTCATTTTCTTCTTCCTCCTGTTCCGAACGAACCTCTTGCAGCAATTCATCCACCTCCCTTACAAAGTCCACCCTCAAGAGAGTATTATCGTCGATTTCAAATGATGGTCGCAATGGCCCGTGATGCTGATATTATACAATATTGGAAACAAAAGAATCAGAGATTTCAAACAGATATGAACTCTAATCTGCAATCTTTAACTTAGATGGTATTTGCACCATCTTACCTATAGATTTGGTAATCCGCAGTATTAAAACATCTGTTGACTAATCTAAACCCTTTAATTTGGTGCAACTTACCTTATCTATGTCAAATGACTCAAATCCAGGTGTTTACCTTATCTATGTCAAATGACTCAAATCCAGGTGGAACAAGAATGCTATATGGATCCTCCCGTGGAAATGTATCATTCATGATCTTTTTACATTTATTTAGCCACTCGTTGAAATTAAAGCTATCATACATAATCAAAAGATCATTGAGCAGTCTCATTGCAGGGGTAGCCTCTCGTTTCAAGATCTCAGTCTACAATCAATACAGAAAAATAAACTCAGAACAGAAACAAAAGAAGTATCAAGGTTGAACTATTCTATAATATGGTAGAAGTATAATTGTTCCGAAAGAAGCCAATAAGAAAGGAAAAGGTCTAAAACATTCAATGTTCTAAAATAATGGAAAACAAATAAAGGTTTATGTTTTTGCATTAAAAAATACTATTCAAGGAAACAACTAAGTCATTAGAATAACTGATAATGCAAGGAACCCTTTCTTAATGGTGATGCACACAACAGAAAAACGGTCATTGCAAGAAACTAAAAAGTGAGTTGAGTCAATCATGTAATGCAAAACCTCTATATGACCACTTAAGTAAATGGGGGAGGTTTTGCTTAGAACCCGTTTGACCTTTTTGTGAATCATTATTATTTAATTGATCTCTTGAAAAAGTATTGTCCGAAAAGTGATATTGAAACAATGTAGGGCGAAAGTTTAGTTTAACTGCTTATGCCATTGCTTCCGGTTCCCAGGAAAAGCACCGTTTAAACAGCTTTCTGTTTGTGGTAAACACTTAAATTTTGGAAAATTTAGATTTCTCCCCCTTTAAGGCTCTTAAGACCTCAAATTCCAGAAAACATCAACGAAATATGTTTGTCACCATCAACGTAATAAGTTTGTCACCATCAACGTGCGTGTGCGGTGTGGAGGGAGCCAAGGTAAGTTTCTCAGTGAAATAAAAGCGGAAACTCCAAATTAAAAGAGCATAAGTATAGATAGCCATAAACAAAAGGGGACAGCTATTACCTCAACCCTTCTGTATAACAGATCCAGACTTCTTATAGCATCCTTTTCATCCTGTAAGTAGGTGATAAGATAATGTATAAAACAAGATAGTGAGAAAGAGGATAAAAATATTATGCAGATTTCTTTTTGAAATAAACACAACAAATTCTGAGATTCAATTCTAACAATCTCTTTCAAATTATAATAACCATATCAAAGATCTAAGGATGCAAAGGAGAAAACAAAACCACAATTTGTTTAGTATTTGTATCATAATAATAAACTATTTGGATTAGTATTGTCTGAATCTCGATTTCGGTATAAAATCCTGCCAAGTTACAAGGTTCAAAATTACTAAAGAGTGGAAGACTGTGCGACGACATTCTCCTCGCTGGAGCTGAGTTAGGTTTTCGCTCATTGGAGACTTAATGCTATGGGTTAAGACTCAATACATCATTCTTACCTATTTTGCAGATGGATTCACATTGAGAGTTTAGATGCATACTGGAGTTGAGTGTTACAACTATGAAGGTAACGTTGGGTGCACTAAGTGTAGCCTTATCATTCGGCTGTTGCATTTTGGATTTTTTTAAAGAAAAATACTCCACTACTATCATTTTACACGTGTATGGGGAAATAACCAGTATCTTGTAGACTTGTTCAATCGTCCTCAACCGCACGAATCTATCAGAGTTTAGACAAAATAATAATTTCTTTAGGCAAATTCACTCAATTTTGATACCTAAAGCTGTAAACTTGTGATTCTATAACCTAACTCAAGAATTTGACAACCATAGAAACCACTATGTTGTTTGTGCTGCCAAAAATCAGATAGCTAGGGATACAAAGTCATCTACAGCGCAAATGATTACGTTAAAAACTTTGACCGAAGATTTATGGTCAAGGGATCAGCTCAGAGAAAAATGTAAAGAAAAATATTACTTTCTTTTTATCAGAAAATTAAATCCAATTACCTAGAATATTTCAAACACCAAAATAACAACTTACATCACGCCGGGCAAGATCAAGGCGATTCCATATGACCATCAAAACAAGTTCAGTAAGTTCTCCTCTCTCAGCAGCTTCCTCAATTTTCTACAAGAAAAACAGTAAGTCGGTAATGTTGAATATTCATGCCATGCCAGAGACCCTTCAAAAAAAACTTATCAATGAAAAATAAACATGCACAGCATGGAAAATTAATTTAATGAGGAACTAACTATGCAGGGTGTACATTTATTACAATTTTAAGACAAAAACTTGGTCATGGTGGAATATTTTATCTGCATGACAATTAGGAATTTAGGATAGTGAATTGCATCACCAAGAAGTTACCTCTTCTACTTCTTCAACGGCTCTTATGAAGCTTGAAACCAATTTCCGTGCATTTCTAACATCTTCTTCAGGGTATCCTTTCAGCCGCATGCCAACTTCACGATACTCGTCAATCTTTCTCTCTTCTTCCTCTTCTTCTTCTCTGCGTCTTCGATGCAACTCCTTGGTATTTTCACGTTGTTGGGCTTGCCATTCCTATCCTAGAGATGGTTAATGAAATCTATCCAAATAAAATCTTCCAACAAATTTGGTTTCACAAGATAGCATACACGCACACCAAGAGACACATTGATACCGCAATGCTTTTACAATTATAACTCATAGACCAAGAAGAAAAGTGTCCAGTCATCCACTCTATATTTTGATATGATAGTTTATACTTATAAAATAGAAAACAGAATTGAAAATCACAAATTATGCCAAGCATTAAAGATATGATAATATACATTTTTCCCTAAACATATTCTGCCAAATTGGCTGACATAACAAGAATTCAAGTTTAAGTGAAGCTAAGCATTTTTCCTTCAAAGAACTAGAATAAAATATATAGATAGTATACTAAACAAACACAATTAAAGAGCTTTGAATTGACAATAGTTTTGTTGTTTTTTTTTTAAACTTGGTATTCAGCCATGAAACCGACTAATCCAAGGGGACCAATCCCACCGTCCACTGGCGGGAGCGCCATTTAAAGTCAGAGCATAACTCTGTATGGACTGGCCCAACACAGGGATTGTTTACACCTAACGGGATTCGACCTAAAGACCTTGAGATAGAAACACACTCTCAGGTCTCAAGCCTTCACCAACAGACCAACCCCTGCATAAGCTTTGTGACACTGTTTGAGAGAGTTTGTCACAACAGGCTTATGACATATAGTTCATAAACGTTTTTTAGCTTATTTTTATAAGTTCTCCAAGATAGTTTATACAAACAACTTATAGCATATAAAAAATAATTTAAATTTATTTTATCTTTTGTAATAAAAATAGCTTAAGCAAGCTCATTCATAAATACTTATTTTAATAAGCACTGTAAGAAGCAAATAAGCTGTTTATCCAAACAGGTCCAAAATAAAGTCCAATTGTTTTCACATAAGCTAATTCCAACAACCCTAAGATGTAAAGCTGTTAGACATATAGATAAAATTAAGTATAAACAAGCATGGATAAATAAGCAATAAGTGAAAAGCAGAAATGATAAAAAAGCATACATCATCATAATAGTGAGCAGGCATCCCTTCTAGAAGCACCTCTTCCTTTTCCTTGTTCACACATCTTCTTAAACCTATCAGCAAAAATCAAAATAATCGATTTTGAGAGAGAGTGAGCGCGATTGAATTATGAAGGGGGAGAGACTAACCTGCGTTGGATGTGAACTTGTATGAAGAAGAAGAAGAAGGAAATGCAGAAGCTCTTGTTACAACAATGGATGAAGAAGAAACGGGAAGGAAGAAGATAGAGGTGGAGGTTATAGCGAGGAGATTCATCAACTCGGTTGACTGAGTTAAACCCTTTTCTGGTTTGGTTCAGTGAGTCGAAAAAAGCATCAACTCGGGATAGTTACTTGCTAACAATATCAAAACAAACCAAGTGAGAGAGAGGGTTTAAGACAATGAATGAATAAAAATCTTATATTAAATATTTAAAACGACATATAAATAAATAAAATTATAAATAGGATAAATAAAAAGAAAGC